CCCTCCCCTCACTTTCGACGCCCCTCCTTCTTTGGGGGCAGGTGACTGGGCGGCTGGGGTGGGTTCGTCAAGGGGGGAGGGAGCCAGCGACCTCCGATGGAGGGGTCCACTTTTTTCTCTTAGGGCCGGCGGAGGCCACGTCGCCCCTCCCCCCTTCAGAGCCCACCTTGCTTCTCCAACAGCCGGCCTGGGAAGGGGAAGGAAAAAAGGGCGGGAAGGAACACCCCTGTGTGCATGCGCGGTAGGGACCGACCAACCGCCAAGAGCAGGTGGAGTTGGGAGGGTTTGATTGCTTTTCTTTCAGGAGAGGAACTGAGGCAAGCTACGCTCTCCCTTCAGGCTCTTTATTTTAAGCCTCTGTGGAGATTTGGCCAAGGTTTCCCTTCGGGAGCAAGATGTGTTTCTGGCAAGGGAGGGACTGTTCATCCCTCACCCTTAACGTTTTTGATTTTGTATATGCAGTATAATAGATATGCTGAAAGGAGGGTGTAGAACTAACTACACCACAACTATATAGGAAGAGAAAGGGGATATTCGCTTCCCTTTACATTCCTTCCTGACAGCGAAAAGTTTAACAGGGGATGATGAGAACAAAGGAGACCACCGCCATCTCCTCTTTCCCTAGAATGATATAGGTCTTAATTAAGTGCATTACTCTTCAAACCTTCTCTCACACTTTCTTCAAAGCTCAAAGGTTCTTAATAGAAAAAGACATTTTGTATAGAGAAATCTTAGTGAATCCCAGAAGGGGAGGGGAAACTCACCACAAGCAACTAATAATTCCTTTCAAATATCGGGGGGGGGGGGAATATTGGAGAAGAGACACGCTGACGCCTTTTCAGCTCATTTGGGCATTACAAAAACTAAACAAAGAACAGACCAAAACTTACTGGCCTGAAATGGGGAAGCAGATAAAAGATATTTGCCAGAGGTGTGGCGTATGTCAGAGGCAAGGGAATAGCAGTGACAAAAGCAAAGCTATGCCCTTTACCTATCATTTCTATCCCTTTCCAACACATTGGTTTGGACATAGTTGGGCCATTGCCCAGAGTTACCAAGAAGGGAAACAGATTCATACTATCATTGACTATGCAACACGTCCCGAAGCAAATCGCCTGAGAAATATTGAGACTCAGACCGCTGCAGGTGCTCTGCTGAATTATTTGTGTCACATGGGGTTTGCTTCTGAGATGGTGACAGATTTAGCAATCTCTTTCATGTCTGGGCTGATGAAAATAACCTCCAAAATGAACAAGGTAAACTCCGTTAGACAGGAGGTGGGAGAGACAGGCAGGATAGTGGCCCATGTGAATATGATCAAGCCCTACTATAGAAGGGAAAACGTTGTCTTGTTGGCAATGAAAGAAGCAGACAATGAAAGGCACAAGTTACCTTACTGGGCAGAAAGAAAAGGTTATCCTGTATAAAATAAGAAAAAAACCCAAAAGAAAACATAAATGGCCATACTGGGATGGCAGAGGTGTGACTTATCATAAGCAAAATAGTTTAAAACCTAGCCTTACCCTGCCAGTGGCACAAACTACTAAAAGATTGAGAGTTGGGCTCGAACTTGTTGGCACTATCAAAAGGGTTTACCCAATAGCATCACAATAGCTGCTCCAGTAAGAGGGGTGAAATACTGTAGGGCAGCTAAAATAACACGGCGGAAAGAGAAATGGAAGACCATGCTGGTGGCAGACCGCATACGGAGAGTTCCTGAGTGCCAGAGAGGCTTCACCATTACGGAGGTGTCTGGATTTGAAACAGGAACCACGCCAAACCCAAAGGCTTTCATGGCCGGGATCTAATGGTTGTTGTGGTTTTTTTGGGCTCTCTGGCCGTATTCTGAAGGTTGTTCTTCCTGACGTTTCGCCAGTCTCTGTGGCCGGCATCTTCAGAGGACAGCACTCTGTGCTCTGGTGTAGTTGGCTTGGGAGTGCAGTATTTATGGCTTTGAGATGGGCTTTTGTCTTTTTCTGTAGATGGGTGATTAGTGTGTCTTGTTGTGGATGTATTGTTGTGATAAGGATGATGGGTGTTATTAGCTGGTCTTTTATGTGTAGTAATCCCCTGTCCTTGTAGCTGGGCGGAGTTCGTTGACCTTTTGCATGCTATATTTTTGAGAGCTGGGAACCAAGTTTTGTTTCTTTTTTTGTTGAAGTTCTGCTGGTGCTTGTGGATTTCAATGGCTTCCCTGTGCAGTCTGACATAATGATCGCTGGTGTTGTCCAATATTTCAGTATTTTGAAATAGAATTTCATGTCCAGTGTGTTTTAGGGCATGTTCACCTACTGCAGATTTTTCTGGTTGTTTTAGTCTGCAGTGTCTCTCGTGTTCTTTGATTCTGGTGTGGATGCTTCGTTTTGTGGTTCCAATATATACCTGGTCACAACTGCAAGGTATCCAGTAT